AGGTGTTATGTAACTATAGAGTTTGTAATATTTGCTTGTATCTTAGAAAAAATGCAAAACTGAAAAGCAAAGTGAAGACAAAACCAACAAATAAAACCAGGTACATTTTTTGTTTCCTTTTCCTTTTTTTGTTTTTTGGGGTCAATATTTAAACCTTATGCACACACACATTTTTGCAAGTAATATTTTAAAACTGAAATTAAAGTATTACTAAGGCACAAAGCATACTCCTTAAATTTCCAAAATTTACATGGTTTATAGAATGCATCTAAGTTACTTCAACCCATGTCAAGAAAAATTAATAATACATCAAAACTATGAAATTATATCTTCTGATTAGCTGACTTAATTTTAAGAAATATAACCTAGAGAAATGACCCCAAGAAAAATTATAAGAAACTGCAAAAAACAAGTTCTAACATTCAAAATGAACTGAGTCTTATAGGAAAAAAATGAGAAAAAAATAAAAAATGTGTATATATCTAAAGATCTAAAGATAATATTTAAAGAGCAGAGGGCAAATACCAAAATGTTAACAGAAAACTGAGAAAATAACAGAGCAATTCAACTTCAATATTATTTTAATTTCTCTATTGGACAATCTTGAAGTCCAATGTAGAAAAAAGAGATAATAAACAAGCATCTTGTCATTTTAAATATATTTACATTTCAAGGGTCATATGATGTATATTCCATACTTCAAATTCAAATAAAAATCCAATATGTATAAAAACAAAAAGAATCAGAAAAAATAGGAAAAGTTGTCTGGATTTTCAACATATACAAGATGGATTCTGGAAGCTGTCAAATACAATATTTCTATAAGTGATTTTGAAGATGAGTTGATGTGGAATTTAAAATCTAGTTCTGCTTTAGGAGGCTAAGGTGGAAGGATGGTTTGAGCTCAGGGGCAACATAGCAATACCCTGTCTCTATAAAAAAAAATTAAAAAAAAATTAGCTGGCAGTAGTGGGAAACTACCAGGGGAGAGAGCATACACCTCATCAACAAGGGTACCTGCAGGATGAACATTTATATGCCTAACCCTGAATTGTACCCCACATCTTCAAAATAAAAAAATAAAAATAATAATAAATTAGCTGGGTGTGAGAGCATATGTCTATGGTCTCAGCTACTCAGAAGGCTGCAGCTGGAGGATGGCTTGAGCCCAGGAGTTCAAGGCTGCAGTGAGCTCTGATCACACTACTGTACTCCAGTCTGAATGACAGAGTGAGACCCAGCCTCTAAGTCATAATTTAATTACTTGATGAATAAATTACCTTTGGTTCTGCCTGATGTGTTCATTAATTCCTCTGAATTGTATTCATTCATCAATCAAATGGGGATATTGAACTCTACTTTTTAGGATTGCTATGATTAAGAATAGCATACTTAAGACACTTGACACATAGCAGGTGCTCAGTGCATGCAAGCCTCTGTTATTATGGTATACTTCGCTATAACTGATCTCAGACAGGAAGTAGACTATATGTATCTTACTGAAAGATGACTATTTAACAGCATGAGAGGACTTTTTTATTGGCTAATACACTCTACATATGAGCAACCTACTTCTCTAGCAGTATTCTCTACCCATGGATGGCCAGCTGGGAAAAACTTCAGTTTTTTTGTTTTTGTTTTTTGTTTGAGGTGGAGCCTTACCCTGTCGCCTAGACTGGAGTGCAGTGGCCGCTCCCAGCCACCGCAGCCTCGACCCGCT